TTGCCCACTTGAATAAACCATTAATAGAAAATTGCTAGTATATTTTTATTTACAAAAGAAATTCCACAGCATTTTCCAATTTTGTCATTACATTGAATATTTTGTTCACTTCCAACAAATGTGTACACTTCTGATACATCTTCGCCAGCCAAGGTTCGTTTATTCAGTCATCGCTTCAATTTTACATCAAACACTGAGCATAATTATCTAGAATGGAAGCAAAAAAATAAGTAAATCGTAATGATTAGAACACTGTAAACAGCTATAGTAAACAATGCAAATTTTAAATTGTATAACGGTCACCGGCCCACGGCATCGACGCAGAAAATTGGAGCAATAAAATATTTCCTGATCAATTGCGATGTGTTCCAAATAAAAAATATTTTATTCCAGTCCAAATCAGCTCAATTACTTTAAAAAAGAGTTATTGTATAATGTACAAAATGTTGATACATTTTGATGAATATTTACAGCTACGGCTTCAATACCGTAGACGGTTTTGACCCGATCGTCAACAAAACATCACCCGTCTCAACGGCAAGCGACTGGAAAAAGACACCAGTGTTCGGTCGAACCGGTGGAAACAAAATCGTCACTCCCAGAATAACTACGCAAAGTAACGATCTAAACTCGAACCATTCGAGCCACAATATAAACATAAAAAAATGACTTTCGTTGCATTTTACAATGATAAACTTACCAAAAAGCCGTGTTCTTCTCGGTCCTAACGTCGGTATAATCCGCCATTTTATGTTTGAGTGTGTTTGCCACCTGACTCTGCCCAGTGACGTCATCATGTGCGCTGATTCGTTGACTAAAATCGTCGACAGTGGGTCTCGTTGAAATCTCGTTACATAGGCATCGGCTCAGATGTATGTAGGGCGGAATTTTAAAAAAATCACAAAATCAAAATGAAAGTAAAATAATAAAATAAAAAGGCATTAATAACAAAAGTAATAAAACATAAAATTAAAATAAGTTTATAGCCAAAATAATTAAAGCCCGTACACTACATCAGATTTTAATCAGATTGCGTTTAACCTTATGATCACTAGAGTCAAACATTTGTCATCTTTTCCAAAATGAAAACTGAATAATGATGGTGGATACAATGTCGTCTTTGTTTTCAGACAACATGTTTAAATTCCTATTGAAACTGTAGGTATTAAATGCTTGATCATACTACATTGAGCAACATAATATTGTGTCAGTGTTTTGGATTTATTTTCATATTTTCAGTTTTTATATTTAGTTGTCATGTGACAAAAGTGGTAGCTCAGGACAAGTACTAAGTGAGTGTAAACCCTGAATTGTCATCAATGATGCGAGAGCAATATGCCTTCCTTAACCAAGCAACTTAATCATAATTGTACAAACTGTGTTATTCAAATATAGGACATTTGCGATGTCACAAGCACCTTTAGCTTGTGGGCCACAAAGTTAGTTGACTGGGATCAAAGGAACTTTTCTGAACTGAATGACAAGCTGGTTTTAAACAGAGACTATTGTAGATATACAGCCATTGATGGGAGTGTATGGCCTTGTATTAGTATACACAGCAGCCTTTATCAGTACAGACATTCAACCAGTTTCTTCTGGTCTAGCGTCCATGACAAAAAAGGTCATAATGACACCATATAGGAAGTAGAGTAGCAAGTGTACATCTAGAATACACAAAACTCCAAGGTACTGTAAACACATTAATTATTGTTATTTTCATTTCATGTTATCCGCTAAATCAAATCCACGTCAACTGTGAAACTACAATTTGGGAATTTAAAAACCCAGCGATTATGCTCAACTAGTGAAAATTAATGTTTTCTTTTTCTAATACACAAGTTTAAGGTGAATTTTAACAATATAAAACCTTGGGATGTTTATTATTTCAGAAAAGAAACTCACAAAGAATTAGCAACTGAATATTTTGAATAAATCTACTCCTGCATCCATCATTCAGTCACTTGGAACCTTATTGGTATATCAATGAATTTATTCACTGACCAATACCCATATATCCAGGTGTTCTTGGAAAGCAGATTCTCCTTCTTCAAGGACATCAAAAATTATTGATAATCAGTACAGTACATGACTGAACTGAAAACCATGTCTCTGCACTAATTTTCAAATTTATTTAAAAAAGACTCCTAAGTAAAAATTTTAACCATAAATGCTTACTCACTTTTTAGAAAAAATATTGTGTCTGACATGTGATCACATTAAAATACTCCTGAATGACACATGTTACAATGAAGCCATACAACATGCCCCAGGCTGAAACAACAACTTTCAAATTGGTTAGAATGAGGTAAGAGGTGAAACCAACACAAGATACATCTAGAAAATACTCCTGAATGACACATGTTACAATGAAGCCATACAACATGCCCCAGGCTGAAACAACAACTTTCAAATTGGTTAGAATGAGGTAAGAGGTGAAACCAACACAAGATACATCTAGACGTTCAGTGGGTATGTGATTCCCCAAAAACAGGATGCGTGACCTACGGGGGAGGGGATGAATATAAGAAGTGATACTCAGCGTTGTATAATCATCTAAACAGTGTAAAACATTCACACAGCTGATGAGTCACACAATCATTTATATTAAATCTCAATGAAATCCACACTGCATAAATCAAAGTCTGAAGTTCCACAAACAACAGATTGCAGACAGTTAAAGTCACCAATGAAATTTCACCCCAACCTCAAAACCATCATAAAACTCATGTTGCACACATATATATACCACACTCAGCTGAGCCTGTTATATACAATACATACATGTACGGCTATACTTGTGAATATTTTACCTACTGTAAAATATTTTATTTTAGCCGGAATTAATTTTTACAGAAAAGACATTTTTGGCTGTTTTGTATGAAGTTTATTTTCACTGAGTTTTGATAAGTGAAATGTAAAACATAAGAAAAGAAATATTTTTACTGATTCATCCATTAGCAAAAATAAATAAGTAATTTACGGTATTCAAGGTTTTTAGAATAAAATACTCCAAGCATATATCGACTTTAAGTGAAGCTCAACCATATATATAATTTGCATACAATCACAATCAGTCAATAAAAACACATGTCCGGTCAGTATAACAAAGGACTATTAGGACACAATACACTTTATGGTATTGTATACATTTCAGCTTCAGTATTTGGAATATTATGAAGCGCAAACCCACACGCTATAAATCAGTCTGTTACACAAGCATGGTGCCATTGTACTAAATCAAAAGGCGTCCTCAGCAAACACACCGGATGAGTAAAGACTATTAATGCTCCAATGTACATGAACAAATACATTTATCTCTCAAATTGGAGAATACCATGATTACTAGCACAAATAAAGCACACAATATCATATTGCACACCCATGCTTCTACACCGAAGCCAGCCTGTTGATACACATGTTTAAAACACACCTGTCTGTATGTTTGTTATGCCTACAGAAATCAAATACTATTAAAGCACACATGACCTTGAGGGATGTGAATGTAGAATGCCATGCAACAATGGCACCCTCTAATAATTTGAATGCAAATTAATTTACGGTATCGACTCACTCCACTATATATGGATATATAGTCAATCAATAATCAATAGTTCTACTTGGTGTATAAAGCAAAAGCACTAACATTTTATTTTTAAATTTCAAGTGTTAAGTAAGTTAATGTCAATCTTACCAAAGAGAATATTAATGATTAAGACATCATGTCAGCATAAATTCAGTTTTATTTTAGTAAGTAAGACATTATTAAACGTATCAATCGGGGAACAGTCAGACTATGTGGTAGACTGAAACCATCAAACGCACACAAGATGCATACAAATCTCTCACAATTTTTTGACAGCTGGCTATATTATTACGATCATCAGATAATTGATCTTGAAAGAATTCATAGATCTGTGTAACATCAGTAACATAATCAAAACCTTTGTGCGAACTCCCTTCGATAAACAGAGCCATCCAACTGGCAGCTATTCATATAAAGGGAAGGGTGGGGTTAGGGATGTCTTATTATTTTAAGCAAATCGGAGGTTACATTGTGATTTCTTATTTCGTAGTCAACTTTGAATAACATCTTAAATAGCCCACAGTCATAAAATAATGTCAATGGTTGTCTTAGGGTAACCGGAAAGATTGCAGGCTTGCATACGGGATTGTTTCCTGTTTAGATAAAATAACGAAGCCATGGTCGAATTTCGGACCGGATGGTTTCGCCGATCAAGTAACAAATTAAAATCGCAGAGAAGTATTTTAAAAGACACTATAATGTAAGAAATAACACAATTTCTCAGCTGGATAAATTGTCTCGGAGAAGTGCGCCGCCCTCTCATTAACAGTTTTCAGACATGACATGGCATCACTGAATTTATTCTTCATCACGGCGGCGATGAAATATTATTCGCACAGTAGCGATCATGATTTTCTGAATGGAGTTACCGATGCATACTCACACTTTCACTCCGGGCGGTGGATCCCAAACACATTCACCTGTCGTAAGATTGGCGTACATATGCTCCTTCGTCCGAGGCTCGATGATTTCCACCCATTCTAGCCTAGAAGAAAACACAAACCATGGAAAAATTTAGAACACAGACCGCCCATCTTGCAACCCCTTCAGGTTCGGAGAAATTGGACACTAATCATTGAAGTAGATTAGGTTCAGTCCCCAATATAATAAACTAACCTTTCAGCCATAGTGTAAAATACTTATATTTTAACCGGGTTAATAAGAAGAACAGAAATATCCCGATATTATTTTCTGTTCTCGGTCCGCTCTCCGATACACGGCCCTTTACGCCGCCATCTTAGTTACGTTAACCGGAAACAGCCGATTTTATCCGAAATGAGCCTCGATAATGTTCGTAATGATCCGAACGTGTTCGGAACAAACCCGAAGTCAAAGGGCAACGTATGCGCAATCGCAGAAGGGGTATGAGAAGGGAATTGCTGTTGTTCTTAGAAAGGTATGTATGAAAATGATTTTTGTGTGAATTTTTGCTTACTGTGGACATTGTTGTACATGTGATTCCACTTACAAAGTATCTATTTCATATACATGTTATAGTATTGGTTATCAGAGGGTTTACTATTTGATAATTACAGCTCTGTACATTGAAAGTTACACCACTTGAACGTCAATACCGAGGAATCAGTTTGTTTTGGGTTTTGGTAGAAATGAGAAATCACCACAAAATACGGTTTTGCGTGCCATAAAAATGTCTGCGGTATTGTCACATTCAT